CGTCATTTCTGCCACGTTCTATTGGCCAGAACCTAGTCACATGCTGTCCCTGATTGCAAGGAATGCTGGGAAATGTAGTTTACTTGTGGGTCCAAGTGGAAAAGGGAGGCAGCTTGTTGAACAACTTGCTGCTGGTCTCTAACTCATTTGTATAAACCATTTGAAATTTTAATATCTAGTTCATCTCAAACATGTTTTTGTATGCTAAATCTGGTCACCTCTCCGTCTTTATGCTATGCAAAGCTTACCGTCTCTTGCCAGATCTTCTAATTGGTCTCCCTCTTCTGTTCTTGTTCCCTAAGAGTCCATTCCCCCAAAAAACCAAAGTGGTCTTTCAAAGACTTTAAGTCAAATTTTGTCACTCCCCTACCTGTGACTTTCCAAAGGGGGTTGGAATAATGGCCACCCTCTATCAAGTGAGGCTGGCCTCGTGGGTCTCTGGCTCTACTGTACCACACTAGCCTCTCCCTATAATGCCAGACTTGCTCCCCTCATGCCTTGGGAATTGCTAGCACCCCTGCATGACCTGCCCTCCCCCATCAGCACCCTCTTTCTCCTTCAGGTTTCAGCTCAAATGTTCAATATCCTCTCCCTTTCCCTCTACTTAGTTGCTTATATTTTACTCTCGTCTTGTCATCAAAGCACTTACCACCCTCAGAAATTATTGTGCTTGTTTGTTTTGCATTGTGTATTTGTATTATGTCTGTCTTTTTTCTAGATGGTGGGTTCTCCAGGCTGGAACTCCATCTTGCTCACATCTGTATCCTCAGATTATGTGCCTGGCACACGGTAGTGGGAAATTAGTAAATACTTGTGGAATGAATGAAGGCCACTACAGATTCACACATATTTTCAATGACCATATTGTAGCCCTTTGCACAGAATTGCTAGAAATGTTTAGCTGTCCACTTTGAGGGACTTTCCATTTCTTTCAGTTAAAAAAAAAATGCTTTGGGAACTATCTTTTTAGTTAGTTTTTTTTTTGTTTGTGTTGTGCACATATCTGTTCTTATTTTCTTAGGATTGATTCCTAAATGAGAATTTGTTTAGTGAAAGGGTGTGTGTACAAAATGTTAAGTGCTCAATAAAGCACTTAAAATTATTACCATCATGTATTTCCATTTGCCCTGCAGACTCTGGATTTGCTTGCCGATATAGTTGTGAGCTCTTGTATAATGCACTCTCAGTAACACTAGGATGTGGGACTGGTAGGGTGGGGTGTTTTATCTTGTATTATTATATCCCCAGATCTTAGAACAGGTGCTCATGTTTACTAAGTAAATAAATCATTTTCCATAAAAATTTCAGTTATTCCTTTACTTATTTTTTTACTTATTCATATAAATGTTGGCTGATTTGAAAATGTATGCCTTTGGAAAGTAGGTCCACCCACCCAATGTAAGAACATTCACCCAACGTTAATGTGAACCTCAGGGAATCAGGTATTAGCTGGGCTTACCCTGTTCCTTCCAATCCAAACAAGGTTCAGTTGAGCCCCTATCCAGTTTGTGGAAAGAATAGAACACTGCCTGGGATTTCTGAGACTTCCAAGCACTACAAGAGGGAGAGACGGTTTCTTACTAGAATTCTTGTTTTTTGCTGTGACTGGTGACTATATCTTGGTTTCCATCTTAGACACAGTCCCTTCTTTATCTTCCCCAAATCAGCCCCAAGTGCAAGGCTGGGTGTGGAAACAGACCTGGTGCGCTGCCTGAGTTGATTGTCTGAAGGAGTCACTGCTCAGCCCGGCGGGCGTGGCTCAGCTGTTGAGCGTCGACCTAGGATCCAGGCGATCGGGGTTCGACTCCCGGTCAGGGCACATGCCCGGGTTTCGGGCTTGATCCCTAGTAGGGGGCATACAGAAGGCACTTGATCAATGACTCTCTCACCATTGATCCTTCTATCTCTCTCCCTCTCACTGAAATTAATAAAGACACTAAAAAAAAAAAAAACACTGCTCAGTGGGGAGACAGAGAAAATACATTCCCTGTCCTCCATTTCTTCTTCTAAATGAGTCCTCACTGCACCTCACATAAAGTCTTTAACCCCTAGGATTTGGTTTTAACTATGGTTCTCATGGTTTTTATGCTGTGGACACTAGTGGGCCCAGACGCTTCCCAGGTATACTATGAGCTCTATGAAGCTATGTTGCCAAATTGTGATTGATGTGTTAAAAATACTTTGTGACATTCCTTGACTGAGATGGCCATGAGAGATGCCAAGTGATTGACAGTGGGGGACAGCCTGCTGTGAGGCAGAACAGAGCCTTACCCTAGATAACATCTGTGCTGAGAGAATCTTTGACAAGGGCCTGTGAGGTGAGTGTGTGAGAGAAAGGCCAGGGTAGTAAACCTGGCAGTTACAGGAACGAGGGACTTCGGTAAACACTTGGGGACACTGTTATGCATAGTAGTTATTCCTGACTTGTCTTAATCCTTTCATGAAGGCTGCCAAACACATCACATCCTGCCGAACGTGAGTGCAGCCTCATTTGAAAGTGGTCATAAGCACATACAAGTTGAGAAGCCTCTTGTGAACCACACCTGTGTCCTGCTGTGTTTGTGTGTGAGCAGCCTTGTGTCGGGGCTGGATGGTGGGAAGGATGGTTGAATGGCTGGAAGAAACCTGGAGAGTCAGTGATCTCAAGCATGGGTTCCAATTGCACGTGTGCCGGCTTGATCTGGTGGCTAATTGACAAAGCTTCAGCATCTTAGACTCATCCCAGGGATGTTTTATTTCTCCCTGACATGATCTGCGTAATCACGTAGGTTTTCTTTTTCTCGCCTAGGTTTTGACTAAACATGGGGTAGATGCATTTCATAGTACTTCTCTCTTCCTCCTCAGTGCTTGTGTCCCAAGGGCTTCATTCCTAGCCATTTTTTCTTTTCACTCTTTTGGGATAACTTTCCATTAACCTCTAGTTGTAACTACCAACTCTACATGGGTAACTCCCAAATCTATCCCAGACTAGACATCTCTCCCATTTATCAGTTTAGTCATTTATTTTTTTGCACCTGATTGTTTCATAGACTCATTGAATTCAACTCAGTCCTCTGTTTTATGCTAACACTTAGTGACCCACATTGGAAACCTGTGCATTATCTTGGACTTCTGCCTGCTACCTCCTTCTCAGCCCTCTGATCTGTCCTGAATGTCTTAGCCTTAAATACTTCTCCAGCGGGGGGTCCTGTGCCGTTGTCACTTTGAGCAGACCACAAGCATATTCATATCTGTATTTCAAGATCTAGCTCAATGCCCAGTGCATAGGAGCCGCTTAGAAAATTATTGGAATGAATGAGTAAACAGATGAATGAATTCTGAGATGATTTGGGATGATTTCCATTTAGGATGGTCTTTTTAATTCTTTTTACCAGAACCGAGGAATTATGTTTGCTTGTCAGCACTGATATTTTGAAACCATAATGTTGAAGAAATATTTTTGCCACATGAAATTCCTTCCCATTTCAGGCCACTCACACAAATATGTACACTTCAAAGGGGAAATTATTTATTAAATTTATGGTACCTCGTTGCATTTGGGCATTTATCTAGGTGGTTCCATGTGTGTGGTTGTGTTCCTGGCACAACCTGGAAATACTTCCTATCAGTGGCAGAAATAGTTGATCTGCAAGACCTAGTTTGAATTAAACTTGTGCTCAGTTTATCTAGATGCTCTAAATTTGTAGGGTCATTGGACTTTTGAGCTGGGCGGAATGTAGCTGTTTGAACTTAAGTGTAAGGAGCACTGGCCTCTGCTTGAATTGGTTTGTTCTATGTTTCATTTTTGGCTTGAAGAGGAATCATTGACTTTGCATATTGGGTGACAGTGTGATCCATTGAAGGTCTATTTTTTTAAACTTTTCTTTTTACCCCCCTCCAACAGGGAGAATCACGTGTTCTGAGAGTGAAGGTTGTTTCTGGAATTGATCTCGCCAAAAAAGACATCTTTGGAGCCAGGTATGTTTACTTTTTTTGGTAGTCTTTTTGTAGGCTTGCTAAACTCAAGCACTGTTCTCACCGAGGCATGCAGCAGATCAGCCTGAGGCCTTCATAACACAGAGGTCACGGGACTCCACCTGCAGTTTCTGATTGAGTCTGGGATGCTGAAGCGGCTGGTCCAGGGACCACATTTTGCGCCAGGGCCTAGACCTTGCACGACAGTGGTCAACAGACTAGTCCTTCTATGGGTTGATTTCATGAGAAAATTGATTCTGATGTTTCTGTTTTTCACAGTGGAAAAATACAGTTTGGGAATAAGTCTGTGCTCATTTTAATATATCCCTTTAAAAAAAAAATTCCTAGTGTAGGGAAAGATAAAAGTGTCATTTTGTTCCTGAGAAACCTGCATATTCCTTGGCAAATACAATCTGAAGTAAGAGGTTTGGTAATTTGGATGCATTTGGTGATTTCTAGCAGGGAAGCAACCTGATCTTTTCAGTGTCTAGCTTTTTTATTTGAGTTTTGCACCGATACTCATGTACTATCTTTAGCTCAGTCCTCTTGTTCCTGTCTGCTTTTTGCAGTGTGTTGTGTTATGTGTTGGATGGAGAGCAGAGTGAGGTTAGAGCCACTGGGAACAGGGTTGGAACCAGATTTTGGAGAACAAAGACCTTTGAACTTCAGACTTAGAGGAGACACTAGATGTCCCAGTCCAGCTTTCCTTTATGGTTGACTAAAGTTTAAGCCCAGAAAGGTTGCTGCTTGCCTGGGTCATATAAGCTGGTAGCGCTAGAACAAATCTCCTGTCCCCTGTCCAGTGTCCTTTCCTCGTTGGGTACACCATGGGGTTTAACCACGAGGGCCATGGTGGCTGCTGCTGGTCATTATGACACTGGATCATCCGTGAGTCCCCTGCACCATCCCCTGTAGTGACCCTCCGGTTCAGGGCCTCAGGCTGACGTGGGAGACCCTTCGTAAGGAGCCCTCCTTCTGTCTAGCTACCTCAGCCTCCCATGGACTCAGATGAAGATTTTCCTGCCTTTGGGAGGCAAGCCTCTTTATTGTCTGTCCTGTCATCAAATAGAGTTTTAGTTTTGCCCATCAGAGAAGTTGGTAAGGTACTACTATAGCTCTTAGAAAAATTACCAAGAAAAACTGATGCAAGTTAGATGTCAGGGACATCTTTTAAGAAATTTTCCATACTTACATGTCCCCAAGTGACTAATTGAGGGTTAGCTACCTGGGCCATGTCACAGGAAACCTCATGCACAGGGACACTAACAGCCTGAGCTTCTGTGATGTGGGAGGGGAGCAGGCCCCACTGGCAGGTTCTTTCTCATTTGTCCATGAGGTTGCCCTGACTCATTTACCATGTGCCTGTGCTAATGCTCTATGGTTTGCTTGTCTTTTACCCGCGTAGAAATTCATCCAGGCAGAGATGTCTTCTTTAGTATCTTTATCCTACAGAACAAGACAGGGCAAACGGTTTTTTTAATTTAGACATTTGTATACTGACTAGTAGACTGTGCCCGTATGTCAAAAATGCCTGTTGTTCACACTTACTCTTTTTTTTTTAAATATATTTTTATTGATTTCAGAGAGAGGAAGGGAGAGGGAGAGAGAGAGAGAGAAACATCAATGATGAGTCATTGATCGGCAGCCTCCTGCACGCCCCCTGCTGGGGTTTGAGCCCGAAACCCGGGCATGTGCTCCTGGACCGTAGGTTGATGCTCAACTACTGAGCCACGCAGGCTGGGCCACACTTACTCTTTTGCATGCATTTGATAGTTTTGCATTTTATAGAAATTGGATTTGGAAAATTTCTGTGATTTAAAAAAAAATTTTTTTGATTGTTTTTGTTTTGTTTTATCCAAAACCCTTCATTAAAAAAATGAAATGGATTCAGATTGTATTTATGTTCAGAAGGTCTGAGGTTAAAATTGGTAGTGGCATGAGGATTCAGATCGTTGGATACAAGCCTCAAGTTTTTACTGTTTATATGAGAAGAGGCAGGGTCATTTCTTAGCGACAGGGTAGAAAGGAATTCTCAATAAGGCTTCAAGATGTTAATTAGAAAGCTAAATAGTGTTGTGTCTGAATGGACCCAGTGTCGGAAAATGAGCCAGAAGCTTTAAATCTTAGTTCTGTCCTAAATTTCCTTAGTTTGATAAATACAACATAAATATTAACATAAATATACCACACGTTCCTCCCCACCTCTCTCAGATGGCAGCGTTCTCTGAGTGTCACGATTCTTTAAGGACGCATTTGCCAGTGAGGCAGCTAAGACAGAAGGATTAGGTGGCGGAGCGGGTCNAGAAATTCATCCAGGCAGAGATGTCTTCTTTAGTATCTTTATCCTACAGAACAAGACAGGGCAAACGGTTTTTTTAATTTAGACATTTGTATACTGACTAGTAGACTGTGCCCGTATGTCAAAAATGCCTGTTGTTCACACTTACTCTTTTTTTTTTAAATATATTTTTATTGATTTCAGAGAGAGGAAGGGAGAGGGAGAGAGAGAGAGAGAAACATCAATGATGAGTCATTGATCGGCAGCCTCCTGCACGCCCCCTGCTGGGGTTTGAGCCCGAAACCCGGGCATGTGCTCCTGGACCGTAGGTTGATGCTCAACTACTGAGCCACGCAGGCTGGGCCACACTTACTCTTTTGCATGCATTTGATAGTTTTGCATTTTATAGAAATTGGATTTGGAAAATTTCTGTGATTTAAAAAAAAATTTTTTTGATTGTTTTTGTTTTGTTTTATCCAAAACCCTTCATTAAAAAAATGAAATGGATTCAGATTGTATTTATGTTCAGAAGGTCTGAGGTTAAAATTGGTAGTGGCATGAGGATTCAGATCGTTGGATACAAGCCTCAAGTTTTTACTGTTTATATGAGAAGAGGCAGGGTCATTTCTTAGCGACAGGGTAGAAAGGAATTCTCAATAAGGCTTCAAGATGTTAATTAGAAAGCTAAATAGTGTTGTGTCTGAATGGACCCAGTGTCGGAAAATGAGCCAGAAGCTTTAAATCTTAGTTCTGTCCTAAATTTCCTTAGTTTGATAAATACAACATAAATATTAACATAAATATACCACACGTTCCTCCCCACCTCTCTCAGATGGCAGCGTTCTCTGAGTGTCACGATTCTTTAAGGACGCATTTGCCAGTGAGGCAGCTAAGACAGAAGGATTAGGTGGCGGAGCGGGTCCGTGGCATGTTGGCATGTCCCTCTAGAGTGGCATCATTCATCACCTTCATCTTCTGCCCAATTTGACCTGTACCCTTCTGCACGCTATCACAGGCACAGCCTTTCAGACCACCTCGTTGCGGTCCCCTTGTAACTGGCGTGCTGGACTCGGGGGGCTGGTCCTGGCAGCTCTCACGTATGTCTGAGGGAGCAGCCACACGTGTGGGAGGTTTGCTAGTGTGTGTCCTCTGCTCTCTGCTGGCGTGAGACCCTTTTCTCTGTGTCCTTCAGAACCCTTCCTCCCCCAACCTGTCCCTGAATATTCCCTCCACCCCCCCTTCCTTCTCCCTGCGCAGAAGCAGGCCTGGGGAGGAACCGAGCTCCTGTTCAGAAAGGGCCATGGACAGAGAGGAAGGCCTGTTGTCCTGAGAAAGAGCCTCAGCAAGTTCAAAGTGGTAGAAATCGCATAATAAAGCCTTGGATGTTTTGACAGACAGGATTTAGGTTCTTTGGGGCTCCCTCTCCTTAGTCTCCCAGGGAGATGGATAGGAGAAAAGAGGCAGGATGTGTTTGTTGGTGGAGGGATGGTGATGCTGGGGTGGGGAGCATGCACTCCAGGTCTCCCTGGGGTCCTCAGCCCCAGGAGGCCGCCTGAGGCTACAGCTCAGAGGACTGGAGTTTGCAGCCCAGGCTCTGAGCTGGGATGGGGGTGTTCAACCCTGGGAGGCCTGCACCTGAAAGGCCCTTCTCCTTTCCGCTCTCTGGCCCAACCCAGCTCCGAGAATACCAGCTTCCTTCCAGCAAAGTCTAACTTCATTAAAGAGCCTTTGTGGAAAGAAGATCTGATAACGGACCTGCTGCTCAACTTGAACATTTGAGCAGTTGGTCTGTGTGGAAATGGCAGCCGTAGAGAAAGGTGGTTTCTTTTGGACCGTACTTTCAGTTCGAAGAGGGGCAGTCATATGATCTGAACAGGGATACTTTTGTCTGGAACAAATGCTAAATCAAATGGGATGTCAGGACGTAGGATGTGAGTGGAGACTGGTCACCCCAGGTCAGAGACATCAACCTTTATAATCCATACTATGGAAAAAAAATGCGATGTGATGTTTTTAAAAAGTGTTTTGTTTTTTTTAGAAGCCGAGCGAAAGAAAGTCTTTTTCAAAAAGTAGACCATGCATAAAATGCCAGTAAAACGTCAAAAAGGAAGTAAAACTATGTGGAAACTGTGTCCATTGGGTATTTACTTCCATTTTGAAATTGAGCCAGTTGTCTTCATGAGATAAAGCCTAGTTAGGGGATTGAGGAGACAGCCTTTCGGTGAGAGGTCCTCTGTACCTGTCCATTCCGCCTCCTTTGCACCCCACCCCCACCTCAGTGTTTGTGGGTGGATTGGCTTGAATTGGCCTCTGAAGTGATGCCCCAGCACCTCCTCACCTCCACTGTCCACTCTGCTGCGGGCCCAGACCTAATGCATATAGGTCCCCTACCTGCCTGCATTTGCCTGTGGAGTCAGTCCCAGCCTCCTGGTAAGGTGTAGGGTTGACGTCCCTGTGGAACTTGGTAAGCCAAGGCTTCTGGTCCTGTTCTCCCCACCCCACCTCTGGCCACAGCCTGCCTTTCCACGCAGCGACGGTCCCTCTCCCCTGCACCCAGCACCCTCCTTTCCTCTGTCTGGTGCAGTCCCCTCCCTGGGGAATACACCCCTGCCCCTACCCGCGCCGAAATCTGGGCAACTCCAGCCCCTCCTCCTTTACCACTCAGCTGACTCAGTTGTCATCTCCTTTGGCACACAGGGCCACCTCCTAGTCCCCGGCAGACCTC